ACTCTGTGATGAATGACAAGTTTCTTGTATTCAGACCCTTTAGTACAAGTGACCATTTTCATTTTGCACAAAAGAACACTGAGGACATTAAAATGCATCTCTGCCATGGTTAAAGTGGCATGCTATTGACCCGTGTCTGTTCGAGCTTTATTCTTGCCTGTTTTTACTGTTTGTAATTTTTCTGGCGCTGACACCAACCTCATGGTCGTATAAATCACATCTCTTAAAGTGCTGACGGAAACACAGCCTGGTGTCACAGCTTGATTGGTGTTCAAAAGGGAGGAGAAGGGAATATCGGCAATGAGACCTGTGGATTCACAGAGATATCTCTTCCCAGTGCCTTATGGACCATTAACTGCCTATCAAAGGCCCAACAGGCTCTCCTCTCTGATGTGCTATCAGTGTAATAGAGAGGCATTCAATCACAAACAATTCTCTGAGCAATGTGGCTAACTCTTCCAACCATGATATGATCTTTCAATATAATGTTTCACTTCTGGCCATGTGTAATTAGCTTAAGCAATAACTATGTAAGCAAACCTAAATTATATATATATATACACACACACACACACACACACACACACACACACACACACACACACACACACACATATACATATATAAAATTTGTGTCTAATTCCAGGTGCGTCTGGTGTTTTCTGTTTGACTAATACTGTTTGTGGCCATTAGCTGGCGTGCATCATACAAAAAGTCCCATAAATCGTATTTGCCATTCTTAGAACCAGAACAAGAGCTCAGTAGTAGATCCTTACACAGTGTCCAGCATTTTCTATAATTACCATGTTTATTGGATTTTTATTTTCACAGTGACAAAAGGGCCATCTGCCTGCAGCAGCTCTGCAGTCAAGCTTTAAGATCAGCTGGGAAACTTACTTGGAAATGGATCAAAGCACTCCTACTCCACCCCTCGCTCCAGTTCAAGAATATTCAGAGCTAGTTATCCCCTTCTCAAGCACAGCTCATCAGTCAATGTATTTTAGAAGATGCAGTAACAATACATGTAGCCACACATTCTTATTCGTGCTTTCATTGTATTCTGTGATCTTTGGGATGCCCCAAAAAAACTAACTATCCATTGCATGACTGAATCGCATCACAGGGAAAAAAACACAACAAAACAAAAAACAACTTTACTAACATTAAGGGTGTTTTTTTCACGACACTTGGCTTCCTACCTCAATAGCATTGTATAAAAAACCACCTCAACAACTGTGAACACATGGTTAGCACAAATATAGCTTTGAGTGTGTAAGGAATGATGGCAGAATTTTTCTGATGCATTGTTTACCCAGTATGTGATTGGACACCTTATCAATTGTTCCATTACCTCACATGCAACGATCTGGATAACAGTATTTTAACACTCATCTCAGTTGGTGTCTGTCTGGGAGACACGTTAAGACAAGAAACACAAAATCAATGATAAGAACACTTCAAAGTTTGCTTGGGAGCTGTCAGGAAACCTAGGTCAAATTGAAGTTGTTCTAAGCATTTGTTTCATCCCACTCAGAGCCCCAGATGGGTGGAGTCTATCACATTTGAGAAATTGAGTAAGAGTTTTGTAAATCGTTAGCTTCATAGCATAAGTGCCTAAGTCATTTTTTTTGTGTTTTCGGAAAACAAGAAAAAACTAATTTTCTAAATATCACATGCATATTTTTACATATCACATGCAATTTGACCAAAAAATGACTTAGGCACTTATGCTATGAAGCTAACGAAATGCTTTCTTGAGATTTGTTTTGAGTTTTTTGTATTTTCTCACATGGAAACATTATTATTTTGATAATTATGTAGGGCTTTGCGGTAAACTTTTTTTTCTTTCTTCTATTACAAGTGCTAGCTTATACATAACTATAGTATTTGACGCGATAAGCATTAGTATGTTATTGCTGAAAATGAATGCCACCTCCCTGTCCCAACTGGCTCATCTGTGTCACTGAGGTGCCCCCTGAATCAGAGAGGTGAGAGGCCTGTTAAAAGAAGCTCCGCTGGGAACAAGGAAAGTGGAGAGACTACCTCCTTTCCTCTCTCTCACTGGGATCGTATTTCTGAGGGTTATCAAGCGGCTCATTTAAATGAGGGCTGGTCACAGCAGGAACCAGCTGAACAAAGTTACTATTACCAGCGCCTCTCCTGTGCTGCTCTCACTCTCCTCTAATTGAGTTTGACTGCATTTGTTTAAATCCACAGTGGAAGAAAGAGAAAGGAGGGTGGAAGGGTGCAGTGAAACTGAAGTGTGTCAGTTTGTCCAGACACGGTGGCACTTTAGAAAAAAGGGCCACCACTGGGCTTATTAGACAAAGGATTTTTAGGGAGGGTGGTGGGTGGTGGGGACAAGGCTTGGTGGGTCACAGAACAGGCCTAGTCAGTCAGTGATTGGAACAAGCCAATCCTGGTCTCTGCTTGCACATGCACAATCACCTCTGGTGGTCCCAGCTCATTTCCTCAGTCAGCAGGAGCACTAACGCGCCGTGTACGGCAGTGCATGGACACCCACATAGGCATGTAACACATGAACATGTACACGAACAGCCCTAATCCATTACCAGTCCCAAAGTTACCAAGACACTAAGTTGTTCAGTGCTGAGCGTCAAGGATTGTATGATTACCCTGCACGTCCCTTGAGAAGAAACTGGCTTTGATGTGAAGTATAACAACATTTGACACCAGTATAAAGAAAGTTAGAGGGCATTAACAGCTCAATATGTTTGAATCAGCAGCTTTTTTCCTCCCAAGGACAACTCTGACCCTTTCACATATACTAAAACTAAGGCCATACAATTCAACACAGTCACCCTCTCTGACATACTGCAAAGTCAGATAATTCTGACCATGAACTAACATCATTCTGAGGTAACCGGGGACAAAGCCGATCAAATGCTGTTTAAATGTCAGCCATCCGTACTTCCTGATTCACATAAACAAAGACAAATGATAACTTTAATGGCCAGCTACTTTTTCAAGCATGTTTCTTCCCCTCTTGACCACACTTTGCCTCGCATCACGCTAAAAAGGGATTCCTTGTAAATTTTATTGCAGCAGTGTCAAAAAGACTCCCATCGAAGAAGCAGTAAATATTCTAACAACGTCTAGATGCAAGGCCATTCCTGCTGGCTCCAGGCACTGAATTAGACCGGCCTGTTTCTAGTTAGACAGTCATTAAAGAGATCTTACAGCCACAGCAAATGGTTTCCTGTCCTGAGTGCTTAACTCCTGTAGTAGGAAATGTCCTAGGCCGTAAAGGGTGAACCAAACTTCCTGAACATTTTTTAAAGTTACCACAGAGGGCATGCGGCGTGTTCCGTCCATTCGATGTGGCCAATCAAACAGGACCCTGCTTGACCCTAACATGACATTGACCGTTTAAACAGGTGGTGTCCATTTATTGGACCAGCATTGTGTTTAATATGGGAATGACAGGCTTATTCACTCGCCGGGGAAATACTCAATCTGGTATGAAAAAAAAAATAACACCTGGAAAAAGGAAAAATAAACAATGGAAGCTTCATTGCTGTACAAATATCATTCATCAAGGTAGAGATGGATACTTTTTAAGTGTTTCCTCTTTAGGTTCAAGCAACTTTGGGTTTGATTTCTAACTGGTGTTTGTGGTGTTCTACCAGATTAACATATTTCATAGGAGAAGTGCAAAATTGCTTAGAGTAACTCCCTTCCCATCTCTCTTCCCTTCTAGCAGCCAGTTTGTAGGCAGTACACTCGCTCCCTAGAGAATAAAGGTGTTGAGACCTGAGAGCCAGGGCACCTGCTGACTCTACTCCACAGGTGACTCTGTCTTTATTTGAAAAACAAGGTTTCTTGTTCCCAGCACCTTCAACTAGAGTAGAATCCTCGCCTGCCAGACAGAATGCATCATCTATTAGTCATGTGGAAACACGTTCGGCTTAGCTGAATGTATAATGCAGCACCGAGGCGGGGTTTAATGTGCTATGGTTTGTCGGGCCATGCATATGTCTCCATGCCTGAGGCACAAAGTTGAGACAAAGAGCAAAAATATGATATTACAGCATCAGAGGGATGGGTGACTAATATCCTAGGAGATAAGCACTTGCATGACTTTTATGAATCAATGCACTCAAGAGTCAATAAAAGTATTGTAAATGTCAAGTTAATAGCTAGCTGCAAAAGGCATATACATTTTAAAAGGAGAAGATGAACAATGCCCGTGTTGTAAAAGATGTGGGGTTGTTGGCAGGTCAGATTCTTTAAGTCCATTAATGTTCCTTACCCCATGTTGAAACTCAAGAGATATGAACATACAAGTTACTTCAGAAAGAAGAAGCATAATGTGACTGTCATTTTCGCAGCAAGGTCTTTAACAAATAGCTACTTTGGCTCAAAAGTACTCTAAGAGGCTAAGTCAAACACAAATAATATGAGGATAGGAATGATGTACATGAGAAACATACTATCATGAAATATAATGCTGGCTGTTAAAAACAACCACCTGACATCTGCAAATAACTTACATGCATAGGCATATAAACACATATGTTATAGTGTTGCACTGATTGTGGCAGTGTCAACAACAGCAGATATGTAACTCCAGAGCACAGCACTAGTAATGATGCTGTCCAGTCATTAATCACTGGCTCTAGAGAAAACAGAGAGTTCACTCATGGCAGAATCAGCCTGGCCCTGGGATGGAGATTAGAGGCCTAATGAAAGCAAAACAAAGCTGGACATGTGAAATTTATTGGCACATTTAGAAAAGCAGCCCCAGAAGGACACTGCCACCAATAATCATTTCAGAATCCCAGTCAAGTGCCGTTTCCTTGGCCAGACGCAATCTAGAGAGGGGATATTTGTGGAGTGGCTGAACAAACACTGATTTGCTGGTATCTCCATCTTTCCCAGCAGCTGGGAAGGCGGAGGGAAGGCAGGTCGCTGGTGTGCTGGCTGACGCCCCGCCTCACTGCAGTCGACTTCTGGGAACAACACTCTCTGTCCTCCTGGCTCCTCCTATGACCCAGTATGCTGTAGTACACTGCAGCTCACTATCTGCCGCCTCCGACCTCTTTCCTCTTTGTGCCACGCATCCCACTGGCTGCCTAGAGTTACCCACAAAGAGGTGGGATTACAGATTCCCATTTCACATAGTTTACAGCATTGCAAACATACACATGCTATTTTATTTTATTTACTTTTCATTTTGATAGTCATTCATAAGATTAAAGAGGTTAAAATGTTCGACATACAATGTTGTAAACATGTAATATAACCGGCCTAAATGTGACTTTTGTTGTGATTTGGCACTGTATACATAAAACTGAATAGAAAGTCTTTAAAAACTTTGTAAAATGTTTTAATTTAGAAATATAATACATGCAATATGATGCAAAATAATACACTGTTATTTAATTGCAAAGTTTTTGTAAATCTGTCCAAAATACAGGGGCATGAATCAAGATAAAAATGAAGATATTTGCCTCAATGGCATGTTGCCTAATGTGTACCACATGCAGCAGGCTGGGAGGAAGAGGAAATGGTTCTTGAAATGACCATTGTTCTAATTCAGAGCCAATCTGGAGATAATGACACCAACATCAATAGCAGACAGTCGATTCACGGATAACATCTTTTTCCCTTTCGTAGTGCTGTTATCAGCTCGGGGATTAACCATTTTGACGCAGGGGTTATGACCTTGTTGCTGTGATTGTTTATGATTTTAGTCCTTGAAGCTGTGGCTAAAAATCCATACGTCTAATTAATTCACGAGAACCGCATTCAAACACAGCCTGTGTGAAGAGGCTAGTTAAAGTTATGTGTGCCGAGCCACAAAGCTGCGTTTTATTCAATGAATAAACATGAGGACGTATAAAAATGTTATTATGCCTGACTAATATGGACAAATAATGCTGGCACACAAAGGAATCCAGTTACAATTTTGACAACATTTGGATGCAAGTTGAGTCTGTCAGGGTGAAACCAGTGAATGACTGGAATAGTATCCAGGTTTTTCAATCTGTTACATGTGCAGTAATTACAAGTCACATTTTGTAAAATCACTTCATTAGTTCCTTATTCACTGGTGTGATGTATGTGATCTATGTGTTGTCTTGACGGTCAGTTGCTAGCCTGTATTTGTTTCTCTGTGTACACTAAACTGGACTCCATGGTAACCACTAATTAAGGATGATTCCTACTTGTGCCCTTTGCCCTTGGTAATTTGACTTTTTCATCCTTATTCTCTCTGTGTGGTGTAATGCTACACTACCCCACTGAACACAGTTTAAATTATTCACCTATTCAAAATGGGCCTCTGGGTGCATGAGGCCTGACTGACCTCTAACCTTTGTGACAGGAATAGGTGTATTCCTCAATGAGGAGTGTTTGCTGGAGGTTGCTGTCTGTAGCTGTGTGAAAATGGTTGCAAAACCTCCTCGTCTTTGCTTTAGTTACAAGCAGATTGCTGTGGTTGCCCTAAATCTGCACGAAAGACAACATATTGTTTGCAAACACACCAAGCACTTTGCAAGCAGCTGTAAATCTTGAAAAGATGTTAAGATATTAAGAAGATTTGCCTCTAAAGGAAAGGTTTTGCCTTACCATCATAAACATAAAATGCACAGCTTTACTTCTCAGTTTGTGTTGTACATTTCAGTTTCACAACCGCTCAGTGTTTGCAGATAAAAGCAAAAGACTAAAGCAAATGCAAAGATGTTATCAGTGCAGCACAGTATATTTCTTTGCGGCAAATTTTACTTAGAAACTGTCAGCAACTTCCAACGACCAGGGGAATTGGGGACCAACAACCAGTGGCTACCAGCGGTCACTGATAGGTCCCTAAGCCTGTGTTGTTTAGGTCTAAGTTTAGCAGGTTAATCCTAAAATAAACTATTCCAAATAGGTCATGGTGAAATGATGAAACACAGATTTAAAAAAAGACAGTAAACTGGAAAAAAATTATTTTAGCCAAAAGTTTGGTTAATACAGCTATACAAAAAAGTGGCTCAAAAAATCACAAACCTGTGAAAGTGCATCAATTTTCAGTAAGACAAAGTGTTTATAAACAGAGAAAATTCAGGAGTGCAAACTACTCTTGCTCATTTAAAAAAGTCAAAAGTAAGAACTGTTTTTTGCAAACCATGCATGTTGTTTGGAGGCCAAATGGCACTGCACATGTACCCCAAAGCTTCATCCTAACTGTGAGGCATGAGCATCATGGTTAGGGACTGCAGAATGGCTGAGAAAAGCATGTTTTTGAAACAAATCCTAGTCTAGAATTTAACACAGCTGAGATTCTGGAGATGCCGTGGCAAGGCCTAAAAAGGGCTGCTCAATCAAGGCATTGTGCTACTCTTATAAGCAGCTATAGAAAACATCTTATTAAGGCATTTCTGCCAAAAGGATATTTTAATGAGTCATTACATTCCAGAGTTCATAATAAGTGGATACTCCCTGTGTTTAATAAAGACATGAAGAGTATAACTACTTGTTTGTTAAATTTTGACTGTCAATAATTATGACAATGATCAATAAGGAAGTGATGCAAAAATGTTTCCCAAAGGGTAAAAAAAAGAATTCTTTGGGATATAGAGTGGGGAGTAAAAGAAAAAAGGCCTTTATTTTTTTCTTTTTAAGCTGCTCTTTTTCTTGACCAAATTAAAAACATGGCCCAATTCCATGTCTGCTCATGATCATATGTCTGTGTGTATTTAATTGCTGCTTTGTCAAACAATTACAGCTGGACAACTACTGGTGTTGCACTGACCCAAAGGTCATTTTATTCAACACTGCAAAACAGTAAAATACTAAAAAAATGAACGTGACAGAATACCCATTGAGAACAGATAAAATTCTCCTGAAACAAAACGAGGGGGACTAACAGCCACTGGTGTATAAATGAATGTCGGTGTCTAAGCTCATATGTTTGTTTCTTGGCAGTGCACAGACTTGAAATACAGCAGGGTGCCACCGCTGACACACAGACACTTTGACCTGCAGGCTCTAATCCCTTTTGAAAAAGACCAAGCACCAACATCGGACCATATGTTTGGGGGAGCACAAGAACTCTCCTATGCTATTTTAAGTGGGCAAGAGAGATGAAAACATTTTGCCAGCCTCTCGTCCCCTGCAATCGGATCAGTCATCAAGTCATCCTGCGAGCAGAGATGAGAAATCTCAGAAGAAGAACAAGAACACACACACACGCATGCTGACACGTGCACACACGCACTCACACACACACACACACACACTTGCACTCATAGCACAATCAGGGACAGAAAAGTAAATTACATAAAGAAGACATATGTCATTCTGATTCCTCTCAAATTGTGGATTACTGCCCCTGATTAATCACTCTTTAATCTGAGTGCTGAATTTATGTCCCCCATCACAGAGAAATAAGCTTATTCCTCTCTAGTAAAGGACCATGATTATTTCTTTCTTCTCCCTGAGCTATTTTTAATTGCCCGAGGATTGCAACTCAATTATCTGTGTGTCAGATGATTATCTCCCGGTTTAATTTAATCTTCATTACGCCCAAGTCATATTTCAATTAAACAGGCTATCATAGCGTTAGCACGTACTGTACTTAAACCTGTTATTTCTTCAGTTAATATTGTGCTAAGAGCTACCGTGAAGGGTAACAGATGTCATGATTATGCACTTCCTCAACATATTTCACACTTGTCTGTGCTGGTGGTATGTCAAGACCTTAGTATGCAGTGATATTAATCTGATTGCAATATCCTTCAGATGCCATGTATAACAGTGCCACAATCTGCACAGGCCTCCAGTTAACGGCAAAACACAGAAAAGCACGAGTGAGCTAGGAGGAGGTTCAAGCACTGCTCGGCACACTTATAGCACCTCACCACTGTGACCTATTCTACTGTAAGAATCCAGCGTCATTTCTCTAAAATGCAAGGCAATTTCAAATAAATATAATGTTATATATATAATTTTTTAAGCAGAAGTGCACAAGCTGCCGTGCAGTGAGCATGATGCCTTTTTTTCATGTTTTGTTTTTTCTTTCTTTTTCCTGTCACCTTGTTATTTACAGTGATTGATTGTGATGTTTAGTACAAAGGATTACTGGGCTTTGCGCTGGATTAACTCAAATGTTTAGACAAGGTCAAATGCTATTGTAACAAAGTACAGTTGTGTTTTGAGATATTTTAGGGGCTTTACTAAAAGCTCAGTCACACCTGTTGCCGAAGACATTAAGCACCACTATTTGACTTTCATGCAATCAGTCAAGAAAAAAAGTTTAAATTCTGACTTCATCCACCACAGCACTGCCAACTGGAACCATGAACCACAAGTGCATTTAATTTGAGCTGTAGACATGCGCCCTATTACTGTTACAATCTCATATTTCTAAAATTCACATTTTATAAAGCAATTCCTGTATTCTGGCTTCAAATAAAACATTAAAAATTTGTAAAATAAAGCTAAGGTCCAAGAGCTTGTTTTAGAGCATGTGGCTGTGTGTGTGATTTTTGTATTCCTCTCTATTTCAGTAAGTGTCTTTTTAAAGAAATAGCAAGGACATAGTATTAACTCATAAACATTTATCATCTTTAAAAGATACGATGCTGGAATGTAATTGATTGAATGTTTCATTTTTATTTATGTCAGAATTATTACATTATTGGTCCTTGAACTCTTTCCACATTTTGGTTTTTGTCCCTCTTTGCAAGGTCTTCTTATCTTAGGAAAACAGCTTTCATCAAAGATCCTCTGTATCATTATTTATAATAAACAATGTTATCACAGCAGTTGGATCTGTAGTGACTCTTATCTGTCTTTACAGTATAAATTCTAGTTTTTCATTGAAAAGAATGAGAGCAAGAATATAAATGTTAGACAAACATAATTAGTGTTGTTGACTTGGAGATCTGTTATTCAGAGATGGATTATGGACAGAATCTGCTTTTTGTACAGCCTGATCTCCTCACAGATAATCCATGTATTTTTCTTCCAAGGATAAGAAATCCTAATCTCACAATAACACTGCTGCTGCAAAAAAAATATTATATGCAGCACAGTCATGCTGTATACTATATCACTTTATATGAGAAAACAACTGAACATACGATGT